GGGGGGGGGGGGGGGGGGGAGCGACGAGAGACGGGGAAAGGGGGTGAAGGTGGAAATCGATGAGATACTCGTTAAACGACAGATCCAAGTTCGTATCGCTGATTAAGGATGCGTACGAGTTTGGTATGTAGGTGGGCGAGGAGGGAGGTGGGAGGGTATTTTGAAAAATAGTTCAGGTTTAAAATAATAATGACACAGAAGATTGCTACGTTAGATAGGCTTTAGGTAAGTTGTATGCTAGGCGTAGGCTTAGGCTAGTTCAGACTGTGATAATTATTTATCGTGCTTCTTTTCAAGAGAGAGAGACAAAAGTAATCACAATGCAAAAGGCGAATATAAATATTTAAAAAATGTAACACGAAACTACATACGCAACCACGACGACAAGAAATGCAATGCAAAACTGTATATCGAGAATCCGCGACCCTTTCTACTTGAAGCACTCGGGGGGATGTTGGAGAGAACGAGGGTGGAGATAAAAATAGTTTTTTTTTTTTTCGAACCGAGCGTGATAAATCTTTCGTTCAGACTGGTGATCTTCCACGCAATCTTCTTTTTTTTTTCGTTACGTAACAGAAATTCATTTTGTATCACGTTACCGTGATTAATTCGAACTTTGCACCGAGACAACGACGTGCGTCGACCGAAAGAAATTCTAAGATTCTTTCAGACCGCCGCCATCTTTGTGTAACTTTCCTTTTGCGTACTTTGATAATACTAGTCTGTAATCTGTCATGTTTCTTATATTAACTCCGTTCTTGACTAGAGTCATTTTTTTTTTAACTATTCTTTCCTTGCTCTCGGTATACCAATGTAAACTGTATCTCGCAGGGTTCCTAAGATCGATGGAATCAACCATGGCGCTAGTGTCGCCGCGGCCATTCGAGGAACCCTAGTATTCACGGAGGCACAGTATCCGTTGTGAAATACGTCGAGGAATATGAAGCACTGTAAAAACAACGATAAGTCTCTGGTTAGAAAAGTACGGAAGCCTCCGAGACTCCGATAATATCTATAAAGGGGTAAGACAAAGGGGCTGAAGGGTTGTTAAAGCGAAAATGGCGGCGACGTTATTCCCTTCCTTGTGATTCTTCTTTTCATACTTTCAATCTTCCAGTAGATTCTCGGTAGGTAAAATAGAACTGACTTTGACCGACCATGTGTATCTTATAATAGCAACCACTGCCAGGAGTTCTCGTGAAAACGTGAAATCCAAAATGATATTTCTGCGAAACAAAGAAAAACACGACAACAAGAAAACGCTTAGGTATCTGCTTTCACGTCGTATCACATATCTGTGTGTCTGTAATTATCGTAATCGAAATGATATAGACGGGTCGAGATTATTATTTTTTTCTTTAGAGTAGCTCACGCGATAGGATAAACAGAAAGGGAGAGATAGGACGAGTAGAAGATAATAAAATCTAATTGAGCAAGATAATGAAATAGCTTTCGAAGGGATTGGACGGGAGTAGCGTGAAAATAAGTTGAAGATTGTCATTAGGGGAATATCAAGTTTAACCAGGCGACACCCGTCGAGCAGCGTCGCGACGCTCGTGAGTGATTTTAACTTTCATAGGGCTGGTACAGTCGATGGCTGAGCGAATGAAGAACTTAACGAGATTGAAGGTACTCGCCTATCTTTTTAAGTAGGGAAACTCAAGTAGTGCCAAAGTTTGAATCTCCCGCCAAGAAACCATCTGGATACACGTTGTTTCGTCTTTCTTATAACGTGTTATTTTATTGTCAATCCTACTTCATTTAATTTAATGAAAAGCTTCACTCGAGCCTATCATGCGATCATGTGCACGATAGTGGTCATATAGCTAGGGGTCGGAGGTCAGGGTGGGATCGCCGAGTACACTACATTAAATTCGTATAAAGTATAATATAAGGGTGTGAACCATTGGTATCTCTGTCAGATTGAATACCTTGCAATCCCCCGATCCAAGTATAACAACAATAGTCAACTCGGGGTATCCTTGAGGCAGTACTGTTTCAGCTTACTACCCTTTCCAAGCCATCATCCCCTGTTATCGTCCCATAAACAAAGCCACTCTCCCCTATACAATTTTTAAAAGAATTTCTCTATCCCACACCCTTATTTGCGGTAATATCAAAGGACCACGTTCGACCCCCATAAAAGTCTTATGACCGTTACCTTACCAGTCTTCGGCATCTTTTCAGTACCTTGCCTCAAGATCAAACATAAAATTCAATTCGGTAACGCGAACCCCAATTATCTCAGCAATTGTTTTGTCGATACGTGAAAATTGAATTTAATAAAAAAAAATAAATACAAAAAAAAAAAGAACGAAAGTCATTAATGGTCCTTCTGCTGTATGTGTTGCAGCGGCAGTGCTGGCGAGTCAGCAGGCTGCCGCCGTAGCTGCCTCGGTGATCTCGCCCTATCCGCCTAAGTGACCCGCGGCCCCCGTTTCCGTTCCCGGTGCCAGCAACTCCGCACAACCCCGTCACACGCACCCCGCAAGTGGCAACACGGGCCACTCGCATGGGAACACCAGCAGGCAGTAGCATGGACGTTCTCGTTAGGCTCAGGTACTCTCTGGGGCACTTGACGGAGACCGATGGTTGATGCGGCGTCGCGCTGTAGGCCGGTGGATAGCGCCATACGAGGTTAACCAGATACAGGGGGAGTGAGTGAGAGAGAGAGAGAGAGAGCCGTGAAATTGTTCAGGAGGGACGATGACTCTTCAAGCTGAAGAACTCGCAAGGGAGAAAGGAGAGCATAGAAGCAGTGCGATAAAGATAGCACGCTTGAGAAATAAATTTATTTATTGATCAACCAAGAGCGAGAGAGATAGAAAGAAAGAGAGTCGGAGCGAGTGATGTAATTGTCAAAATTATTTCGAACAATTAAAAGCTCCACGCTACTGTCAGTGCCGTAACGAAGTTTCGCTTAATTAAGAAATTGACGTTAAAAAAAAAAAAAAAAAATACGAAACTGTTAAAGCTGAGAGTGGGGCACGTTTAAGCTTCTCAGGGGATCTCAAAAAATCGGATTACTTATTTTTATCTTCCCTATCGCCACTGATAAGGTCGCGAGTGTGTAGACGAGAGTGAATAAAGTGATAAGAGGGTATGAGTGATTTTATGGGAGTTCACCCCGAAAACCATGTGTGGCGGCGAGAGGGGTGGGGGGGGGGGGGGGTGGGG